TTCTATCTATCTCAACCGTTGTTCATTACCGTTTTGTGAAACTCACATATATTTTCGAAGGAAATAGTGAGTGCAAGTTTTAAAGTCGAGGTTTTCCGGATACCCTCCCATTACAGACACATAGCAACGGGGAAAGAGAACATTACAGACAACCCACCATTACAGATCTCTGCAACCACACAAAAACTTTAGCTTTACTTAACAATAAAAAAAGTTAAACAGTATGAAGAATGAGTTTGAGTCTTACAAAATGTTTCAATGTTTTTATAATTATTGGCAAAAACTAATATAAATTTGTTAGATTTCTTAATAATGTAATCATTGACTTTTTTTAGAATTTAAACTTGTATATTAAAAACCAAGACTAAAGAGTAGTAATACGTATTGATCTATCATACCGATGGGATATTCAATACGAGGAGCATGATTCGATATGTTTCTCAGTATCAGAAGTAAACAATATTAGCATTTATGAAGTAATTGAAATATATAATAGTGTAATAAAAGTGGCTGATGCATATAAACTACATTGTTCTAATAATCGTTTTCATCAAATAATTGATGACAAGAAAAAATAATTTCAAAAAAAATACAAAAAAAAATGATTATTATCGATTATATAGTAACAATAATAAATAAAATCGGGCACACTCAAACGAAAATAGACAGTTTCAGTTTTAAATGTAGAAATAAATGATAAATTTATTGTTCTTGTCAGCGATTATTTATGAAAACAACTGTAGTCGACAAGAAATTTTTTTAGTTTACGGATGACATGTTAAGATAAGAAGGCTGAAGAATGTACGTGAGTTCCACATTTCAGCACCAAAGGAGCTGCACTAATAAGCTTCTAACATGGCATGTTGATCTATGATTAACAGAACCACTGCTATAATTATAACGGATAAATAACAACGCCAATGATAGCAATATATAAAAACTACTATTGAAGAAAAATAGATAAATCATAACATTGATATTATCAATAAGTAAAAAATTACTAGGAATATTGATGACTAAAAGAATATCTAGATCAGTAACAGTTCTTTGTCATTTTACTTCTAGCATAGAATTTCTCTTGCTTATCACTGTATGCACAACATACATGATTGGTTACAAAGTCGACTGATGAAGATAACGTAAAAATTTTTGGATCGCATATGTATAAATGCCAGCGGCGGCGGCTTGTGTCATTAAAAATTTCTTTTAGTGACAGCGGCGCAGCGGCTGATTTTGATTCTTTGACGGCGGCGGCGGCTGAGAAATTTTTAAAATAACCTATGATTTAGGGGCGGCGGCGGCTGGTTTTCGAAGAAAATCGGCGGCGGCGGCGGCTCGGCTGGATGGCTTACACCTCTAGATCCCAGTCCCGGTAAAAAACAAAAGATTGATCCTAGTCTCGTCGGGACCCTGACTATCTTCGAGAGTCCTAGATCAATCTACTTAAGATACAAGCAAAATCATATCACAATGCTTATTCTAATCATTTTAAAATTAATTTTTTTCTTTTTATTTAAGAACATCAATTTTTTTATTTAACTTAATTTTCTTTAAAAATCCATGTTAGAAAGTAGCTGCTTACACTTATTAACAATATATTGTCGGATTTTTCAAAACTATCAATTTTTTCTATAGTTTAGATCTTGTAAATCTTTTTTCTAAGATCTGATGCAACAGTGTATTTTCAAAAAGGATCCCTATATATGAAAAAAAAATTAAGAATAATTAGAGACTATTAATAATCCTTCTGCCATGAAAATATTATTTCAATTTGTATTACTGCTCTTTGAATAGGATGTCAATAATCATGTCATCTATAATAACGGCACTTCTTGTTGCACTTTTCTTCACATATAATCGCTTTTATATGAGATCAGAACAACTGAGAATCTAGTGTGGGTGTAGGTGTGGATTAAGAAAAGAGGCACGCCAACATTCACACGCACACGCGCACCACACCCCATACCCACACATCCACATCCACACCCGCACACCATTCTAAGCATAAAATTCGAAATTATCATCACATGTTCCTGTTTTTCACTTCATCTCAATCGAAATAACATCGCCATTGATTCATATAACTATTTCTAATTTGCATACTAGCTCTTATCTATCTTCTCAGGCATTTTTAAAATTTTCATGCTATAACGTTTCATTTAATTTTTCTACTTAGCTGGGAGTGAATATTCTGCTCAGTTCTCTCTTACGATATGATAAATTCATCTAAATCTTAAAGTCTCATTGTATCTGTTGGCCACTCAACTGACGAATATAAACTATTAATTAATAATTTTTTTTTGGAATACTATGTTTTCATGTCCATAGAGAAGGTACATGTTGAAAATGTATAGTGTAATATATATACAGAATGACGATCATCACTACTACTGATATGAATACCGTTTGAAAGATTCAAAAGAGCTACATGAACAAGAGATTGTTAGATGCAGAGTAGATGCTGAGAGATTTCTAGAAAGTCATACGTCTAGTTTTCTAGCACTTACACATCAGAAGTATCATTTTTTTTCTCACTACATATGATGACTGACCAAGCAATTCTCTATCAAATGAGACGTTTCTTGGCCAAAGCATATCAAATTTAAAGAACACTTCCAGCAACATTTTTTTGTCAAGTCGTTATTTTCTCAATGACCACAAACGTGAATAAATTACCGCAACAAAAACTAGAGTGTAGCGGATTAATCAATTCACACTATGTGAGATAAAGGATTGAAATTAAAGTCTCATCTGAATTCGAAATATGTTTCTTCGTTAACTCTTCTCGATTAGAATCTTCCGCAAGGTATTCTCTACTAATATATTTTCTTTTACAAACAACAACAATGGCTATTCAATTGAGATCAATATAGGATCAAGAAAATTTGTTAAAGACTTTTCACAATTGATATTTTTGTCAAAAATGTAAAAATAAAACCGATCTATTGTTTCCTTATTGAACAGCTGTTCAGTGTTGTTAGTAATTTATCAACATAACTTGAATATTTGAAATGTCTTTGCATGGCTTCGGTAAAAGATTCGTATGATTCGTTCTCATATGATGTTAAGAAAAAGAACAACATAGAAAATTGCAGTTTTTTTCATTGTATAACTATCACTTTCTCAACAAATTCAAACCAAATTAAAGAACATGATTGTATTTTATGTAGACAAAATAGAGAATATAAGAGTGAAAAGATATCTATAAAGTTAAACCTATGGGGTTTGTTTATACTTTACATGTGAATTTCATTTGACATTTTTAAGTGAAATCAATAAAGGATGTTGATCAACTTGACACGGTACAAGTTATTTCGTGTTTGTAACATAAATCAAGTTGATGTTAGTCTTACAACATGTGGAAGTCAATACAACATAATAGAAGAATTTTTTCGACAAAAAATGAAAAATGGATTTACAAGCCGAATATGTTCAAATCTTAAATATATTGTATTGATTATTACAAATTTATATGTGCGATTCTTTTTTTCATAGTAGAATGAAATGAAACAATTTTATTTTCTCTTGTAGTAAATCATTTAACAGATTGCAATAAAACCAATATAATTTGTACAACGCTAGAGCTTTCAATCTATACCAGGAGTCATCATCAGTAGAATTTTGTTACTATAAAGCTGATAGAAAAGAGTCCTATGAATATATTTGGTTGTATTATAATTAAAATTTCATAGTTACATAGGCACTTGATCAACTCAATAACAACACAATCCTACTGATGACTCCTGGTATGGGTCGAAAGCTCTAGTGTTGTACAAATTAAAATAATTTCGTTCTATTCGATTATTATATAAAAGTCTTATGAATATATTATTTCTATTCTTTTTTTTTCATTTTAATTTTCTTATTTGTCCTTGTTTAGACACGAAAAACTAGAATCATCTAGTTCATCAATGATTCTTTTTCTTTCTTACTTTTGATTGAATACGAACAAATTGTTTAAATGTTGTAGATCAATTTTTATTCAATGTAGAATATTTTAAATAAAAAACTGTTTTTCAATAATGATGACATTGTATTATGTTGTATTTTGAAATAGATGATTTGTCAATCATCTATTTGAGTGCTAGTCTATAGTGTAAAGAGAATAAGTACATATATGATCAATTGATCGTCGACGAAAACAAAGATGACAATGATCATTTCATCAATTATTGAATTCATGAGAATGAATTGTTTTCTTTTCGATTATCAATCTTTTAATTGGTGGAGAAAAAAAAATAACACTGTAACGTCATAGACTAAAAGTTCATGTCTCAAACATATATAAACAATGATTTTTTTGTATGAAATCATTCTATTGAAACATAATTATGATAATGAAATTTATACAATCATACGGTACCGTATCATTATTTACAATGTTCCAAATTTGAATGTTAACATGTATTATTAACTTACGTAATGTTTTATATATTTCAATATCAAATCGGCTATGTTGCTTATTTTTTTTCTTGAGAAGGAGAATAGAGAGATAAGACAGTTACTAACTAAATTTAGTCTCTTTTTTTTTGCTTATTGAGATGCGAATTAATATAAATAAATTGAAAAGTTCTAATGGCCAATAGAACTTTTCAAGTTATTTTTTTGATAAGGTAGACATGTAATCTATTCTAGATGGAATATTTTTTGTTTTTCTTTGTTGTAGTAGTAGAGTGAGGTATTAACTTATATCACAGCCCGTCAGATGGCTTCGTAATCTGACCCAAGGAGAACTCTTGTGCCTATGTTGGCGAAAGCAGTGGAGTACTCGGGAAGGCCGTCTGTTCGTAGGTCCCTGTCGCCCATTCCGTACGTCACACCTATGATCATGCCCTACCAGTCCGGCGTGGTCCGCTCTGCGTGTACCCATTTCGGGCTTACAGGAGGTCTCCCTGGTCGCGCGCGCGCGTACACCAAAATGAGCCGAGAAAAGTCAGGAAGTGAGGTGAATAGCAATCAAAATCAATTTATTGAGCAAGCGAGAAGAAAAAACAACACAGTTACATTTTCTTTTTCACAGAGTCAATACTATTCATCGCCGTTTTAATATTAGGATGTGTTGGTGGAAGTGATTTTTGCCAGATGGCAAGTGCCTTTTCTAGATATGAAAGTGCTTTTGGGTAGTCACCTTTGCCGTAATACGCCGTACCGATGTTGTTGTAGGAAGTAGCCAAATCGGGATGATTCGGAGGCAGAGATTTTTCTCTTATTTTAAGTGATTTGTCGTAAAATTCAAGTGCTTTCGAGTAGTTACCCATGTTTTTATACACTCCACCGATGTTGTTGTAGGAAGTAGCCAAATCGGGATGATTCGGAGGCAGAGATTTTTTCGTTATTTCTAAGTCCTTTTCGTAAAATTCAAGTGCTTTCGAGTAGTCACCCATTTTTTTATACGCAAGACCGATGTTGTTGTAGGAAGTAGCCAAATCGGGATGATTCGGAGGCAGAGATTTTTCGTAGATTTTATGTGCTTTGTCGTAAAATTCAAGTGCTTTCGAGTAGTTACCCATGTTGTCATACGCCAGACCGATGTTGTTGTAGGATTGAGCCAAATCGGGATGATTCGGAGGCTGAGATTTTTCTCTTATTTTAAGTGATTTGTCGTAAAATTCAAGTGCTTTCGAGTAGTTACCCATGTTTCTATACACTTCACCGATGTTATTGTAGGAAGTAGCCAATAAGGGATGATTCGGAGGCAGAGATTTTTCTTTTATTTTAAGTGATTTGTCGTAAAATTCAAGTGCTTTCGAGTAGTTACCCATCTGTCTATACACTTCACCGATGTTATTGTAGGAAGTAGCCAAATCGGGATGATTCGGAGGCAGAGATTTTTTCGTTATTTCTAAATCTTTTTCGTAAAATTCAAGTGCTTTCGAGTAGTTACCCATGTTGTTATACACCGAACCGATGTTGTTGTAGGAAGTAGCCAAATCGGGATGATTCGGAGGCAGAGATTTTTCTCTTATTTTAAGTGATTTGTCGTAAAATTCAAGTGCTTTCGAGTAGTTACCCATGTTGTTATACGCAACACCGATACCAGTGTAGGTAGGAGCGAATGAAGAGTGGTCTTCCGGAAGAGTTTTTCGATAGATTTCAAGTGATTTTTCATAAAATGAAACTGCTTCCTTGTATTGTCCTTGACTGTCTTTCATCACTCCAAGCGGATGATATATATGTGCTCTGTCACTGTCACTGGACGAGTTCTTCAGTAACTCGTTGTAAAGGTCTTCAGCTTGATTATAGTGACCCACTTGGAGCATTAGATGGCCCAATCGATGCCATCCTGTGGATCCACGGAGTTCCCCTTTCATGCGTTGAGTCAGAGCAGCCAATTGTGGATCATTGTCGCCTGTGAGACTTAATTGAACTTCCCATAGACGATTGCTGCTGATCGCCTGTTTGATATCATCGACACGAAAAACAGTGTGCATTGAAAATAAAATTTCTTTTTCACTTTTTACAGCACTGTGTTCGTCGATGAGGGCAAATGGAGTAGTTGAAGCTGAAATTTTACTTGGATCAATTGTCATGATGAAAAGGACACCCACGATGTCTTTATTCTTGTGTATGGTACGTTGAACAAATCCCTTAGCAACCTGTTCTTTTTTACTGGTCGACAAGAAATTATTAAAAGAGAGAAGTCCACCTTTCGAGTCGACTAAATGTTTAAAATCCTGTTGGGAAAGTCCCTGACCTCGATAAACGATGAACTTTGCCATAGAGGCACCCGATTGTTCTCGATGAAGTTTCTCTAATTGTCGATGGAGCGAGCGGATGAAGAAACCCATTTTTGTCATGGCCTCCATGTCAAGTGACCGTAGGGCACAATTGAGCATGCCGTAGAGGAAAATTTGCCGAGTATACCACCAGACCGGCGATTCCTCGTGGTATCTGCCCTGAAATTCCTTTAATTGTGATTCAGGAATACCTTTGTTTCTGCAATAGACGACAAGGTCACTCATCGACTTAGCGTCGTCTTCCTCGATTTCCAATAAAATTTCTTTGAATAATGTCGAATACATAAAAGACGGCTCCAATTGGTCAAGATTGCGTTCGGCAGATGCTCCTGTTGCTTCCACCATCTCTTTTGGAACAAAACTCATCGGCATTGCGTCGTGATCGCATTGACGAGCGACTTTTTGCAATGAATCGCAAATTTGTACAATTTCTGTGAAGAAACCTTGAATTTTTGGCAAATTTGTTGCCCATTCTTTGTATTGCGTTCCATTCTCAGAAAAGATGTAAATGCAGTCAAGATGCGCAATGTCATGTATCAGAGGTATCATTGGTTCGCTCATAGTACTTGCTACAACGAGGAACACCTTTCGGTCATCGACTTCAGTGAGAAAGTCAACGCACTCATCCGATTGGGTGAAAGTATGGACGTCATTAATGACACTGCGTAATTGTGCAAGCGCATTTTGACAATTCTTATTTGCTACATCAATGTTGCCGTCTATCCAGATCAACGAATAATCTTGAATTCGGTGTTGTGTTGCTTCAATAGTATTTGAAGATGTTCTTGAAGTTGTAATGGCATCTATTTGTGATGTAGAAACTGTTGTTTTGAACATGTGCCCACTCATATTGTATATGATATGCCGCTTGATTGATAATCTAGAATCGTGAGTAATCTACGACTGTTTGAACAGAAATCACGTTTTTCATTGATACAGCTGCTGTATTCTGCTTTTTTCTAGACTTACGATTTCAAATGTAAGTGTTTTTATTCGTTGACACTCAGTAAACTCTACCTAGCTTAAATTGAGAATATAACTGTGAACAATAAACAAAGTAGAAAAAGCCCTACAACATCGTTCATGGGATTATTAGTCTGTTCAAGTTTTCTTTAGTTATTATCTCCACAATCACATGAGTGTAATTGCCTTGGATGGTGTGTGACAGTCAATGTTGCTGTTAGTAGCGGCGCCAGGATTTCAGTTCAGGGTGGGCTCATCATGGGTTGAGCCCACCCTAACCCACACAAAGTGTTCTTTTTACATAGCTATCAAAATCTTTCAGGGTGGGCTGAGCCCACCCTGGCCCACCCCTGGCGCCGCCACTAGTTGCTGTACGTGAAAAGAAAATACACGTTGGGTGTAGATGGGGGTGGAAGTGGGCAGCTGTGAGTGTGAATGATAGCAAAGTCGTACCCATCTAATATTCACATCCTTTCAAGTGAATTCCATAGAATCCCGGGAATTCACGGGAATCTTAAAGAATCTTGAGGAATTCTTTGAATTCTAACAAACCATAGGGAATCCTTTGAGATTCAGAGGAATTCAAGATTTCAGGATTTCGTGATTTTCGCTGTGGATAGACTAAAATAGGAGTTGTTACTAATAGAAACTCTATAATCTATATGAATTTCACGTGTTACGTTTTGTGAAACTGAAGTAATAGATTGTTTCTGGCAAGAACTAGTGACTTGAACCCATCCGATTCTATGCAAATAACTACAGGAACTACGTCGAATCTTCGATGAAATAAAGTCTTGCATCAATTTGTATGTCTGGCTTTTTCTTCGAAATCTTATTATTTGTGGTATTCTATGTAGCTCTGTTTATGATGTTTGAAATACTCTATCCAATCTTAGAAATTCTTTTAATAAGATGCTTATTAAAGTCAAATAGTGAAAATCAACCATACCAAGTCAATTTTACTGATGTTTTCTTCCAACTTGGTCGAGTGTTGTATAAGATAGACGAGTCTGTTGTTTATCAAATAACTCTTTTTTTGTTATCTTCGCATCATGATAATATTTCAGTCTCTTTTTGCCTCTTGTTTTTTTTCGTTTTTCTTTTTGAATAGTTTTTATCTACACACTCTATTTGGAAGGACTACACGTGGTGACAGTAAAACATTCAAGATAAAGAACACAAGCGCATTAGTCGTCAACAAAAAAGTATTTGTACAAAGAAATTCAGTTCATAAAAAGTGTATACACCAATATTTATTTCTGTACAATGTGCAATAGCTGACATCATTCAATAATGAACAATAACTAATGAAGATGAACTTTAAGAAAAACCTATAAGAAAATCTTATTATAGACAACAAACAGACTACGATTATTTTAAAAATGATTTCATATTTTATGTCATTCTTGGATAGATGAGACTTACATGATTATAAACAACAGACAATTTTTCTGTAAGTTGATAAGAAAAGTGATCATTTTCAATATAATTACTAATTTTTGAATTCAATTCAGATTTTTCTTCAATGAAAAAAAAGAAACGACTGGATAAACTTTCATTGGTGTTCATGCGAATTTGAACTGCGAAATATTCTTTATATTATTAAAAGAGCATTTTCAAAGAATCTTGATTCGTTTGCGGCGTGAGCTTTGAGAAAACAACTAATCTTTTAAAATACTTTAATTGAATATGAAACTGGAAATTAAGAGTACACTTCGCTGAATTTCCGTGGCTATAATAAAGATTTTATTAAGAGTATATTTGTGGGTATAGATGTTAGTCTTTTCTTCGCTTACATGCTCTTTCTACTAGTGTGTATCTTCTTCTACATGAATTTAATTATAACTCTAATTTCAATATCACATTCCATTCGATACATCATTATCCACGTTGTTTATGTCTATTATTTTTCTCCGAATTGATTATCTTGAGAAAGCCTAATGAGGATGTATTTTCCGATCTTTATTTAAATCTCGTGGCGATAATTGAAAAATATTAGTTTTTGTCAAAGACGAACTTCACTGTCGATTATCATCATACAATTAAGCATAACTGATAATGTTTTTCTGTATTAGCAATATTCATCAATGACTTAAACAGCAAGTCTTCGATCAACAGTGCATATTCGTAAGAAACTGAAAGAAGAACAAAACTTCAATATGATAATGTTATCTGATTTTTATAACAAAACAACATTATCAATAGTATTTCAGTTTTATATCCCAGTCGCTTAAGATGTGAACCAAAGAAGGGATTAACAACTAAGTGCAAAATGTACTTGAAAATCGAACACCAACTCAAGCCATATCGAATCTCTTAAATCTAATTCTGCTTCGTTCAGAATGAAATTAAACAGTTCGAAGGTCCTCCGCATTTTAAAAACTAACGATTTACATGTCGTCACGGTAGAAAAAAAAGAGATTTATCTTTATGTATCTCTGCTGTACAGCTTTTCCATTTCTTGTCATCCGAAAATGATTTTAGTCTGTAGATCTGTCAATAAGAAAACAAAGATATAAACATATTGTTTAAGAAAAAGAAAGGATTCCATTCATTTTGCTTATGTTCGATTCGAATAGCAGGAATAGTATACAGTTATTCAATAGAAGAACAGTTACTATTGTTAGAGATAAAGAATTAAATCATTTTTTTATCTTGTTCGTTTACTGAATGAGCAACATGAAATTCATTATAACGCTTGTTTCAATTGAAGTTTCTTTTTCATTCTAAAATTAAAAAGAAATGATTTTTTTCGAACTACATCCATCAAAACAAATCTCGCTCTTCCGATGTTAACGAATGATCATTAATTTCAAGATGAACATGATGATGTGAAAAAGAAGAAGGGTCAGTGATGATTGTTTCGGTTTAGTTTTTGTAAAAAAATGAATAGTTTTTAAGATTACTATTAGAATATTTTTAAGACCTAATCCAATGAATGGAGGCACAGTTTAATTAGAAATGTTCTTCTATTTAGACAAATACCAAGTCTGAACTTTGTCTAAGAAATCCTAAGCATAGTATGTTAGAAACATAATTTTATGGTTTATTGACGAATATCGTTTAAATTTTGATCAGAAAAATTAGAATTTTAATCAAATCTAATATCATCTTTGAAGTTAGTAATAAAATGTCAACTAATTATTCATAGATGTTCAAAATATTTTAATAAACTTTGTTTATTTTTGGAAAAGTTTCATCTGGTTTCTCGCAAGATTTAGCTGCAAATGAATCCCACTAAAATCTCATGTGAATAATTAAGCCTTCACTCAAACCTTGTAAAATAATATTAGAACTAATAACTATAAATCAATATCTAGTATGAATAGTATTGCAGCAAATTTGTTTTGATTAGACTTAACAAAAACTAGAGGTGCATTTTTAAAGAAAGAACAATGTTCATAAATGTAGTGTAAATATTCTAAAATTAGTCAGCTTCCCATGCGGAAGTCAAGAATGATATTAATTATTATTGAAGCACTATTTTTTTCTAATCATAGTCTAATAAAGACTCGACAACAAACACAGATTTATATTCTTAGACTTTCTTAGTTTGAAAGGTTCATCATTGTGTAGATTGTGAAAATTATTATCGATTGGTAAATAAATATTTACTCTAACAGAATCGCTCATGTGCCTATCAAGAATTAAATCGTTTCTCTTAGGTTTTCAACGTTGGATCTCATATTATTACGAATATGGCCATATCTGCTTCACTCTCCATGACGGCAGCACAGGTCTCTGTTCGGCATACATGCACGAACATGAATTTATTTATTGATACAACGAGTAAGCTATTTGTTCTAGATAATAGCACTCAAAGAAATTGG